GACAGAGCGTGATTACAGTATCCTAAAAGCTTGCTATGACAACCTCGCCTCTAAGTTCGAGGTTCTTAAGAAAGAAAACCAGAGCTTAACCATTGAGGTATGATACTAACCAATCAGCTTAACTTTTTTTTTTTTTTTTTTTTTTTTGACAAGAAACAAAAGAATTCACGCTCTAACATCCAGTTTGCACCCTTTTCATCTCTCTGTTAAAACAGATTAAACGATTAAGGAATTTAAAAGAAGGTCCTAAAGACTGCACAAGTGATTTAGCTCCTGTTACATGCAGCAGTAATGGAGAATCTATATCTTTAAGCTCACCGGAAAAGCACAAAGCTCAACCAGAAGATTACATTCAGGACAGCATATTATCCAAGGATAAATCCGAGGGGTTTATGAGTTTTGAGCAGGAGACAGACAGTCAATTTAACATGATAGAATCTGCAGATGATTCATTAGCTTCATTTAGAAACCACGACGGTCTAGAATCAGCCTATCTTATGGAGCATAATTGTATCTCAGACTGGTGGGACTTCTGGACATGATACAATCCATTAGCATATATTTTTAGCCAAGTTATTCTTCCAAATGCTGGGTTTACTTCCAGCGGCTTTGAGCCAATATAAGTAGCGGTAGGAACTCTACCACAGTAACAAACTTGAAAATGCTCTCTCTATATATATATCCCATTCATCTACCATGCAAACCCCCAGCCCCAAAACAGAAACCTCAGTAAAGGACCATCAACTCCATGTTAGACACAGGAATGAGTGCCGGGTACGAGGAACATATCCAAGTGTCAAGACATACGTAAGTGCTCAATATTTCAGACATGGAAGCAGCCCTACCATTGGACACAGTTACTGACACGGCATTTATATATATATTCCTGATAAGAAAAGACCAGTTACATAGTTTTCACGCTACAAATACTTGTACATGTATTTCACATTACTTGTCTTATACTACTTATTAAAATGATATCAAGTCCATTTGTGTTCAATCAAATAAACTTCTCCTCTTTCATTTCTCCTCAACAATTACCTGGGTACAAAACTACAAATACAATTGAAGTATTTGTGACATAATCTAAGTGCCGGGTGTGTGTATATATATATATATATATATATATATATATATATATATATATATATATATATATATATATAATGCACCTAAAACCAAATAACACAACATCAAAATACACTGCACTATTGCAAAAATACACAAGAAATAACTCTTCTCATCAAACACCTATAAATTCGACAAGAAAATTCAAATTTTATGGTTTGCTACAATGCTACACATACAACACAAGCATTTAATGCACAAAACATAGATCTCGCTCTACACACACACAGACAACAAAAACTGTATAAATAGTCCAGACAGGACAGAATATTCAAGTAACCAGCCAAACCAGGTCCTCTTCTGCTTGTGATAAAATTCAACCTGTCATCCATATCTTCCTGCCATTTATAAAACTATTTTAAAATCTCTTCCTCAACAAGTCTACAATGAATGACTATGCACCAGCTCCAAAATCAAGCAAAAACGGGAGATAGAGTTCAATTACAAGTTCCCTATAAAAGAGACACGGCATGAAGCTACCAAAAGCATAGGTCTAAAGTGAAGCTGAGATCACAACCTACTCCTACAAAGAAGCTTGACTCCCAAACGATCCTATCATTCCTTTCCCACCAAATCACCAACAAGACAGAAAATGGATATTCCCTTTCCAAACTCACAAAATGGTCTGGCAAATGCTCTACAATAGCAGGTGAGCTACACCACCTCATACCACAACTATTAACCTTTTTATTGAGGTGATACACACTTTTTAGTCTAGGGCATAAATCCTAGAACTCATTCTACACCATAGCACATAAATCTCAAGCAACGAGCAGTCAAGCACAAAAACTGAAGATGAAGACTAAATCCTACATTCCACAATAAAAACTGCTGATTCCATTTGCATTGGCATGTCAGCTACTTAATACTAATTACCATTTCTCTTTGGGAAGGGGGCGTTGAGGAGGTTATTAAAATCCTGAATTACGTTCTACATAGATGTTAAGCTACCACAAATCTCCAACACTACATTCACTCAAAGCTATGCAAAAAAATAACCCTCCAAAAAAGCCAGATACTATCACAATGTGAGGATTGATCAACAGCAGCTAGCCCAGCAAACCTAATATACTTCATAAATTTCCCAAAGTAACAAGATTGATAAAGGCATCAAACTTATTGAATCCAATTAGTCTTAATTACTTCATGATGTAAGCAGGACTACAGCTAAGAAGCTAGTTATAGGATTGGAAAATTTCTCAACAGCCACAGTGTTATCTCCAACAACTATGTAATATAACTCTTCTATACTGCTCACTGTACCTACATCACTAGCAGCAATAATTTCTTAGTATCCTTACAGCCTCATTTCTTGCTTGAATTCTAAATATACAGATTTCTCTTTTCTTCTCGCTAACATTAATCACATTCCTAATTCTCTTGGAAGCAAAAGATACTATCTCTTGGACCAAGGAGGCTATTCTTGTAAGATTCCCAGAGCAACAGAGGAAAACACCATCTGATTTGAATTTGTCATCTGTCCATTAACAGCACCCCCACCCCCACCCTCCAGGGCAGTCACATGGCCAATCCTGACAATTCCCCTTTTACAGCCACAAGGTTATATGTACCTAACTACAGATCACATCCCTTCTTGAACTAGTGTTTTATTTATCTATCCCTTTACTAAGCTCAAATCAAATATACAATAAAATTTTCTGTGCGTTAAGGCAGTTATTGCCTTTGAATATAATGAATTTGCCTACATATTATCTTACCACAACCTAAAAAAACTAACTAAAAAAGTAAAAAGTGTATACACGACAAGCCACGAGGTTAATTGTGCCTTTCTACGTATCATATTTCTTCTTGAAACAATGCTTTTACTATCCCAGTACTAAGACCATATAAAAAAAACACAGCAGAATTTTCAGTGCATTGAGGCCAAGTAAAAGGAAATTAGTTCCTTTGAAGATGATGAAACTGTATATTATCGTACCACAAGCTAAAAGAACAGCAGCAACAACCACAAGATATGGACAATTAGACAAATTTTTTTTAAGTTGTTTCAATCAATCAACTTATCAAAGATAAAGGTTAACTTTTTAATTTGCAATATGTTATCTCACAACAAAAGAGCTCAAGACAAAAAGATTAACGTCCATTCAAGAGAGACATGAACACATTAGTACATATGATTGGCTTCATACATGGGCTAAGTTCGCTCAGAAGATTTGTCAGCTCTTGTTATGGACTGGGTCAATGGAGTCAACACCTCAAGTCAACCACCACTTTTGGTGTACACGAGGCGCACAAAGATGGGGCAGCAAGGGTCAAAGGTAGCAAGGAACAATGAGCAACAAGACAAAGCCAATTAAAGAGAAATTACAGAAAGAAAGCAATTCACTTCAACAATGTCCATTGATGGTTTTTCTATTTTAGCTAATTATGTCACATGTATTATCTAAGTCTTGAGTATAAGTATTGCAGTCTAGCATTAGAAAAAGGTATCCAGAAAATTGAGTGAAACCTTGGTGAGATTTGTGGCCTAAAGTCACTGTGAGACTCATAGCCTAAAGTTATGCTTATCCTCCTTAATCTGTAATTCGATTTGCTAATTAATAGAAGTACTCAAGCTTTTTCCTTAATTGTGTTGATTTTCATATTATCCAATTGTGCAAAATCTGGTACATAACAGCTCTCATGTCAAAACTAAAGAAATAATACATGCAAATTATTTCTTGTTGAAAATTCCACCAATTCAACTAGGGGCAGGATGTTGACATAATAGGTCTGATCACACTCACTGATGACCTAGCAAATTTAATCCATGTCCACAAGCTGCATACGTCACTGGATGCCATGTTATTAATTTGTATGAATCAGTCAGTAAGGGTGTCCAGCACTTTATTGTTTAAAGAATTTCACTTTTTCTTCTTACTGTATATCCATCAACTTCAGCAATAATCTACAAGCTTCCTCAGTTCCTAGATTTTCCACACTTATTATTGCTTAACCTCTAGGAAAACAGATTATTTCCGGAGACAGTCGGTAATCAAGTATGTAATCCAAATACAAAGAGACTCCATCTGCTCCACCATGCAAAGCCCTGAGGGCCCAGACAATTTTCTATTGACTAGTTGCTATCAGTCCTCAAACATCCTCATAAAAGATCTCTAATTCCAACAGCTAAAGCAGCATTAAAATCCCCATCTCAGCTGCATTGTTCACAGCAAACTTCAAAATAATCTCAATGCCAACAGCAGCACCCTATGCCTTCAACTCTTAATGCCCAAAGAATAAATCGTTTAAGTATCCAAACCAGCCTACTCTAAACCCAACTGAAAGAAATCAAGTTACAAAATTTGTATTGAGTGACCCGATTTGCCACATTCTCATACAGATAACAAGGGCATCAATTAAGTAAGTTAAAATGAAAATTACTGCATAGCCTGTCCTCAAGCTAATCTCACTGAGTGATCTGTACAATATTCAACCTCACAAGCATGTAGCAAATTGAATTTTTAACTCTTCACACAGTGTTCAAAATTACGCATTTGTACACATGCGGCAAACAAATTTGTCGTTACAATCTCAAACACACCTCAAATTACTTCAAGAAAACTTGCCATCACATACTACGTATATCTTTTGGCTCAACCATGGACAGCATTTAGGGATGCCCAAATTTATGCTTCAAACCCCATGTAAGTGCTATGTTCACAACTACTAAGTTTAAAGACTAACTACAAGATGCTAACCTAGCCAACCTGCCAGACATCACATGCTTATCTTATAATTACAGAGCAGCTGCAGTTTATGAGTATCAACAGACCTAAAGCTTGTTACAACTTAGAACGACAACAGCAGCAACAACATCAGCAAACCAACAAGACATCAAAAATCAAAAGCTCTCACAAGACCGTCTCATCTTGTGTATAAATCATGAGTAACCAAGTGCACTGATAATTCTTCATCTTGTTTCAGGCTTACAGATGGCATTCATAATTACATTGACAAGTCCAAACAAGTATATAAGCCATTATGCACAAAAGAGCATATTTGAAGATTATATAACATCATTGACAATTTGACACCAAAAGATACAACATACAGGTAATCGCATATTCACATGTTAAATAACAGATAAGTTGAGAGTCTTGAGACTATTAGGTTACAAAAACCTCCACCGTATAAATGGCCACCTATACTAACATTTAAGCGAATATAATACTCATAGACACACCTTGAAGCTACACGTATTGTAAGAACAGTCAAAAAACCTGATTTTTCTCGGATATCAGAACCTATAGCTCACCCTTGACCTTCACATCTCCATTAGGCAGTGCATTCTGGTTTTGTGCCATCCTTTTCATATCCTGTATAAAACCTATCAGTTAGATCCTAATAGAATAAGACACACATAATCCCTCCAAAAGAGCTTATCAGATTTAAAGACAGGCATAACAATATAGTTTGTACAATCAGACTCAGTTACATTGTTTCTCTGGATTAAGAGGAGGGGGGATTTGCATATAAATAACAGTGTACAAACTTACAGCAGCAGCCGAGGCACGTATATCTCTATATTCCTCCACTTCAGCGGGAAAAGCTTGTTCAAGTTCCTCAAGCATATGCTTTCGCAAACTCTGTGAAGCAAATAAAAACATTATTATTCATCACTTAATCTCATTAACCATTAAACAAACGTGATTCAATAAGTAAGAGAGAAACGGACACAAAGAGGGAAGAAAATAAAGTCTAGATGTTAACGCATCAAAACCACACTCATTGAGTCATTGATGCCATAATTTTTCTATGGCCATGTAGCCAACCATTTAAAGAAATAGATTTCAAGAACAAACCAAGAAATAATAACCTAAGGCTAACTTACAATATGTTCTCCCCGACTTGTTAAAATAAGTTTTAGCAAATTTAAGTAAAATTTGACAAATATAAGTTAAGCGTAAACCTTCATTCATCTTCTCTGCAAGAAGAAAGCTACATATTTCATTTATAGTAAAATTGTCAAGTTGCAACAGCCACCATGAATCAGCACAACAATGCACTTTTCCTGAGAAACTATCAAGTGGTCTTGCCGGAGAATTGCACAAGTCTTTCATTCAGTGTAAATGACTGAAGGATTACCCACCAACATCCAACCTTATTATAAATCAAGTTTCAACGAAGCGATTTCAAACTGGCTATTAAGGGTATAAATGACTGAAGGATTACCCACCAACATCCAACCTTATTATAAATCAAATTTCAACAAAGCGATTTCGAACTGGCTATTAAGGGTATAAATGACTGAAGGATTACCCACCAACATCCAACCTTATTATAAATCAAATTTCAACGAAGCGATTTCGAACTGGCTATTAAGAACATCCATGGTGAAATGTGCAAAAAGTTAAAAAATGTAATCATACAGAAAAGGGATCAATTTGATTACCTTAAAAGCATCAGTTTTGCCTTTAGTGATCTGGTTTTTGGCAATACAGCTATTAAGAACATCCTTGGTGAAATCATCAGGATTCTTCCCATCATCAATTAAACTAACAACACAAAATAGATTCAAGTAACTAATACAGAACGAAAATAGTAATAATTAAATACAAACAAATAAATCTAAAATAATTGAAAACAATTACAAAATTAGGAAAAAATACTGACTTGAGAACCTCCATGGGAATCTGAATATTGCAATTTCCAGACAATTTCATCATATTATCAAGCTCCATCACCAAAGAATTTCTAACAAAACAGAAAACCCTAATTCTTTAGAAAAATCGTCAAAATTGGAAAATTAGGGTTTAGAGGAGAGAGAAAGTACATGCGTTGAAGGAGAAGAGGCTGAGAGGTAACATTGAAGGAAGATACAGTGAGGTAAAGCTGATGAAGAAGGCCCAAAGTTTTGTCAATGGAGTTGGTGACGTCACTAAGGTTTTGCTTCGCATCATCCGAGGTTGTTCCTTCATTGTTGTTGTTGTTGTTGTTGTTGTTGTTTCCAGCTGCTGCTGCTGCTGCGTTTTGGGCGGAATCCATGGATGGTTTCGATTTCAGAAAGTTGTTACAGTACAATTTTTGCACAACTTCTTCTGGAATTCTGGTTTTGATTTCGGGTTTTTTTGGGGCTTACTATTGTTTTGGACTTTGGATTCAAAGGCCGTCAAAGGGTTTTACGGTAATCTGGTAGACAAGAGATCAATACAATTTGCTTAATTAGATTATAATTTTCCAATTTAATCTAATCTGATTAATCTTTGAAATTATACTTTTTTTAAAAAAAAACTTTTACAATTATGAGTTATGAGAGTGAGGAATTAGTTCAAGTGATTAAAGCTTCCCTCCCGATTTCAGAAAATTCTGAGATCGATTCTCATCCCCGTCCTACTTATGTGATATTATACTCCCCTTATTTCATACGAGTAATTATTACCTTTTTCGAAAGCCACAACACTAAAGATTACACCATAATCAAGAGGAATTTAGCATAATCATATAAGAAAAGACTCACAACTAGACTCCATCTCTCAATGCAAGCATAGGAGTGACTACATGAGCAATAAGTGGTCATCCAATTACACATGTAATTAACCAATTCTTCAACAATCAATCATCAACCCAAAATGAACATGTAAGCACAAACATCAATCAACCCATGGCTTAGTTGGGTGGGTCTTCACCCAACCCCTAGCTAATTAACTACTCACTAGTCATGGTGAAGAACATCATAACAACAAATTCTAATTCTAGCATTAATCTAACAAGTTGAGAAAAGTAATAAGAACAAGGTAAATTGAACATGCAACAACAATTAATGAGAAGATCTAAGAGATAAAGGGCCTAAGAAGATTAAAGGGAAGAAGATCCAAAAAAAAAAAACTAAGGGTCGTATTTATACGCCCAAAAATTACATCATAAAATCCGTCAAAAATCGGGTTCAAAACATTAGGAGCTCCCGCTCCTTCTGATAGGAGCGCCCACTTCTCAGGCTGGAGCGCCGCTCCTGGTCTCTCTGTGTGCCCGCTCCTTGCTGCAGCATAGAAGGCAGAATATTGGAACACGGTTAGGAGCGCTCGCTCCTCTGAGTATATATGCACGCCCGTTCCTGCTTGGAGCAGGGGAGGCAGAATATGGTGCTGGGAATAGGAGCAACCGCTCCTTTCAAGGTGCACGCCCACTCCTTCCTGGTGTATGCTTCCTCAAGAAAGTCCTCAAGCTCATGCTACTTACCCACATTCTCATTACACCTACAAACACGAGCACACACATAAAAAGAAACGGGGAAGCCAAAAGATGCAATTTAGCGCAAAAGAAGTTAGAAAAAGGGATTAAAGTAGGGGAAAGAGTACAAAAATTGTGTTAAAAATGTCATGATAAGTGGACAAATAAAACACTTATCAAGGTTCTAATCTCCTTCAATTGCTTGTTGTGGATAATTGAACACACACGGTTCCCCCTATCAAGTGCTCCAACATCATATCCATATGGTGATAACTAAATATACTCTCTCCGTTACGAATTACTCGCAACAATTACTAAAAATGGTTGGTACACATTACTTGCAACAAACTTTTTTCTTTCCTTTTTTAGTAAGTTTTTTGTGTGAATTTTACAAAATCACCTTTACTTTTTTTTAAACACCCTTATTAAACTATTGATTTTATCTTAAACTTCAACCCTAACATTGATTAACTTAACCATTTCCACCTAAATCATTCACCTTCCATCTAAATTCACCATCACCTTCATTGGTATCCTCCTCCACCACCAATCTTTATTCTCTATTCATCAACCCAAAAAATTCCCTATCTTTGTTCATCTCCCCTCAATTCGACCGCAATTTTCCATGGAGACTGCCACCGTTGTCAGAATTCAGTTACGCCATCCATCCCCTTTCTTGTTACCGCCTTCGTTTTCTCTCTCTTCCTTTTCTTATTGTCTCGTCGTTGCCACTGTAGCTCAAATTTGAAGGTTTTATGGTCAAATTTAACCATGAAAACTCTAAATCTAGAGTTTTGATCGTTAAATTTGACCATTTATAGCTTTAATTCGAGATGGAGAAGGCATTAGTAGATTGTGGGTTCGTGGTTGTGGGTTTAGGGGTGCGGGGTTTGAATTCTGGGTCGTGGGTTTTGGGTTTCTGGTTTTGGATTTTGGGTTCGTTGATTGCGATTTGTGGTTATGGATTTGTGGGATGGGTTTTGAGGTTGTGGGTGTTCCTGCTAATGGGTTGTGGTGGGTTCGGTGTTTCGTGGGTTTGCGCTACTGCGAGTGGTTTCGTGGTGCTACTGTGCTAGGTGGTGGTGATAGGTGGTGGTTCGTGAATTGTTGGGTTGTGGTGGTTTGTTAAACTTGATTTTTTTTTGGTTTGTTAATACTTAAGTATACCCTTATTTTTCATTAATCAAGCTGGTCTTTTGCCTAGGAGTCCGCAATTCCCTCCTTTGTTTCGAGTAATTTGTGATGGAGGGAGTATTAGTGATTGAAGTATTCTATTGACAAGCGAGAAATAAAAAGAGGTGGATTTTTTTTTTTGAGAAATAAGGAATGAAGTATATGGGAAGTAAATTAATATTTAACGACAAAAATGGTCCCATTACATATTTTTACATTTCTTGTACTTTTGAAAATATGAAAAAGTTATAAATCAATTTTTTTTAATGAAAATAAATACGTAGTATTTTATATGTATTTAGTGTTTATAGTGTATTTTTTTTCTTTTTTTAATTAGTCCATTTATTTTCATCTTTACAACATGGTTGTGAATGATGATTATGATATAATGAGAGGTCGAGTAGGTGATGTGTCGTATTAAAAGGTTCTATGTGTCACATATACATTTTAAGAACGCCTACAAAATTTTGTTAAAAAAATATAAATTATTAAAAATTGATATTTTTAGAAAATAAATTATAAACCGAATTTAACAACAAGCATATTGTAAATTACTACTTGATCGAGTGTCGAGGCTAGTCCTTGATTATGACTACTAAACCACAAAAATTTATGGTGGAAGATGTGTTCAGAGAAGCAAAAGCCTGAATACCTGGAAGCCTGAGATGGTCAAGATAAATTGTGATGCTGCGATTATTGATGGTGGCTGGGTTAGCCTTGGTGTCATACAGGGGCGGATCTGTGTTGGTGCACACTGAGTCACGTGACTCAGCAGCACCAAAATTTTTTTTTTTTTTTTTTAATAAAAATATCAAAGAGACCGCTTTAGTCAAGCTGACGCAGGTTTCCTTTTATAAAAATAATATCAAAGAGACCAGCTATTAAGGTAAGTGGTCTCTTTGATGCTGCTATTACATTTCACATTTTAGAGCTGCTTTCTTTCTTCATTAAAGAGACCGGTTATACTTAATAACAGGTCTCTTAAGTTATTTCATTTTTTTACTTGATAATTTTTGCTTCTATTTATAATTTTATATCCTATATTTATGCAACCAATTTTAATATTTTCCCACAAATCTAAATAAAAAATCATAAACTTAATGTAATAGTTTTATATTACTATTTGTTTGTAACATGTTATTTGTAATATTTTCAACTTGTAAGATTGAATTTTTAAGTAGTATGGAGTATTTGGTTGTATTATGGATTTTTGTGTCCTATTTTAGATTGAAATCGATGTGGTGAAATATAATTATATATATATATATATATATATATATATATATAATTTTTGGAATGAAATTAATTATGAACAAGATTTGAAAAAATTATTTGTACTTTCACAAGTAATCAATAATTGATAGTGACTCATCAAGTCGGAAATCCTGGATCCGCCACTGGTGTCATAGTCATGAATGGGCAAGGTGAAGTTCTGGTTGCAGGAACAAGAAGAGTGAGGGGCTGCTTTCCACCAGATATTGCAGAATGTATGGCAATTCGTTTCGGTTCTTTGCTTAGCAAACACTTTGGGTTTAAGTGCGTGGTGATGGAGTCTGACTCCCAAGTTGTGGTGGATCGTTTGGATAAAGCTGCTACGTTCTTCACCGACCTAAATAATATTTTAGGTGATGTTTTAGCTATTTGTAGCAATTTTTACTTTGTAACTTGGTATCATGTTAAAAGGGATGGGAACTTTGTTGCCCACCACCTTACTAGATTAGTGTCGTTTGGGGTCGAACAAGTATGGGTGAATCATGTTCCATACGAGATTTCACCGTATGTATTCTCGGATACTCTATCCTTTTCTTAATTTAATATAGCAATACTCTTTCATTCAAAAAAATCTAAAAAGATTTAAAGATTTTTTATTTTAAATAATTTAAATAATCTAATATATATATATATATATATATATATATATATATATATATATATATATATATATATATATATATATATATATATATATAAAGCTAAACTTTTAGCCAGGTCACGAAATAGCAACACTTGGCATTCCAAATTTTCACCAACTGTCACGCCACCTTGGATAGATTTTAATAGACTTCATACATAAAAATCGCCAAATGTCGCACCACCTTGGATATATTTGGATAGACTTCATAAGATAAAAAAATTAATTTAGAATAAGATTGTTAGTTTAGAATTTTATTTTCGATAAAATACCAAATAATAAACTTATAATTAGGCCATAAGGCAACATCATTTAGTGTTTTAATTTTTCACTTTGTAGCAAAAAAAAAAAGAAGTTAATTTAGAATTCTATTTTCAATTAAATTGAATCATAATATACTTTTTATCTTAAAAGTCTATAAACAACTCGGGCATCGCACGGGGCACAAAACTAGTATATATATATATATATATATATATATATATATATATATATATATATTTATATATATATATATAAAGGGAGTTTTTTCCCGAGTTTTTAGAGAGCCACGTAGGATCTAATTTTCTCAGCGCGCCATGTAGGATTATAAATCTTAGTAGTAGCCAATTAAATAAGAGATTATTAATTTCTTTTAGAATTAAATAATTTAAATGCCATGTAAGCAAAATTGGCGAATGAGATTTTTAAGTTTAAATTAATTAAATATTATATATTATCTTTTAATATTAGGAATTTTATCTAAATATATAACAAATTTTAGACTCATAAATACAAAAAAAAAATATTAAAAAAAATCAAACGGTTTCATCTAGTTATAAATAGATTAGAACCAATAAACCATTGTATCTATTCCTATTAAATAAAATCAATCATACAAC